TTCTTCTCATTTTTCAAAGCTCCGTTAGGTATAATTTTTAAATTTGATTATATGTTCAAACAATTCATTTGAAGGAGAGAGGATGAGAGGAAAATCAATTTGGTGAAATGAAATAGAATTTGCAAGGCTATATTGATGAGGGGGACTTGGAAATAAATCGACAGATTTTGACTGTGTTGTCCCGTGCAGGCTGTCAATGTGGTTTATTTGTAGGTTTTAGTTGTTTTGTATTTTAGCAGCCCATGCAAATCTTTGATTTTAATGGGGTGTTTTCTATTGTATTAGCTATTTTTTGTGATAATTTCTCTCTCCACCCTATAGTGAAAAGTAAAACCCTACGCATTTCCTAAATTGTCCCTGGAAACTGGAAATATATTTCCAGTGCGCACCATATGCAACTCACAAACAGACCAAATGTGGTTCTACCCCATATAAAAGAGAAAAACAAAATCGGAAATATACTTCTGATTGCAACCATCATTCTATTTTCTGTTTGTTTAGCGGGAATGTTTAATAGTAACCAGCATGGTCAAGATAATCATCTTCATTTTTCCATAAACCCTCTCAAAAACCCTTACATTCTCAATTCATTTTTTTACTCCAAATCCTCATTATTGTGGTTCATCATATCAAAAGTAGCTCAAGAAAGTGGAATTTCAGGTAAATATTATTCATTTCAATCCTCATTCTTCATATTAATCTTCTTTTCATTTGGAAAAATGTTACGCTAATACCGTATATATATATATATATATATATATATATATATATATATGGTTAGTAGTTAAACGTTATCGGAACTATACTTCCAGTTCTTGGATGTGCTTTCATTTCCAGCAACTGTGTATTAATTAGTTTAATTTTTTTCTTATTAGATATGGTGCATCCAGATAACGTTCTCAAACCTAATATGTCTCAAGTTATTTCACCTCTTTTATCTCCTATTGTAACTAAGGCGGTAGAAATTCGTGACCATTTTGAAATTGAAGAGGAGTTTGAATTACGTGAAGACATGTTGCAGTGGATTCATACATAGACCATCAAATTAGGGTTTTGTATTGTGATTGGAAGGTCCGATAATGGTACGAATGAAAGATGTGCATTTGTGACTTTGACATGTGAAAGAAGTGGGAAATATATGCGTCGAACCCAGAATTTGAAACACGACGACATTGATTGAGGGAAATGTGAATGTCCGTTTAAGTTATGTGATTATCTGTTGGCAAAAACAAGAAATGAAGATTTAATGTGATATGTGATTTACACAATCATTATTTAAGTCTATGGTTAGCCGGTCATCCAATTGTATGTCGGCTCCTTCTGGATGAGAAGACATGTGTTTCTGACATGTCATTGAATTTGGTACCGCCCGAAAACGTACTTACAACCTTGAAGCGCAAGAGACCCGAAAATGCATCATATATCAAGCAAGTGTACAATAGGCGCTATTTATTCAAATTAGTGCTTAAGGGGGATCGAACCGAAATGCACACCTCTTGAAACTTATAGATGAAAACATGTATGTTTGTAGACACCGAAGATGCGAGGATGGGGTAACAGTAAGATATATTTATTGGACTCATCTTGATTCCATTAAATTGTTTAATATGTTTCCTACTATTCTCATAATTGATACAACGTATAAGACCAACAAGTACATGCTTCTATTGTTGGAAATTGTTGGTGTTATGTCGACTGAGAAGACGTATTCGATTGGTTTTGTATTTCTAAAGTGCTAAAAAGAGGACAATTTTGCATGGGATTTAAAGGTTTGTCGGTCAATATTGAAGGACCAAGAAGATATGTCAAAAGTCATTATTACCGACCGAGATACAAAATTAATGAATTCGGTTGCAACGGTATTTCCCACTTCTTATGTACTATTTTATAGGTACCACATTACTAAAAATGTGAGAAGTCGGGTTAAACCTGCGGTAGGGACAAAACAGATTGCATATGAAAATGGAAAATTGGTCAAGTCAGACGTTATTGTCGAGAAAATTATGGATGTATGGAATGTTATAATAAATGCATCTACAAAAGAGTTATATGTTAATGTTGTTTTACATTTCACGAAGGTTTGTGTGAGTTATCCCGGTCTACTGAAATATGTTGAAAGCACAATATTGGATCAGGTAAAGGAGAAGATTGTTTGTGCTTGGACCGATCAGGTTATATACCTCAAAAATACAACAACAAACCGAGTTGAGTCTTCTCATGCATGTCTGAATAATTGGTTGAGAAATAGAAAGGGTGATTTGATAACAGAATGAGACTTTGTGAATCATATGATACTAAACCAGCATAATGAGATACTAAAAACATATGGTCGAAGTATCATGGTGTTGGAACACAAGTTCAAAGACAACACCATATATTCTCAGTTGGTCGGTAACATCTCTCGGACAGCTCTGAATTTCATTTTTCACGAAGCCAAACGAGCTTCTAATATAGGTTCAGACAGCTCAAAGTGTGGTTGCATAATTGTGAAAACATATGGACTCCCTTGTGCTTGTGTTATATCTAAGAAGATGAAAATTGATTGCCCAATACGTATGGACGAGGTCTCCAATCATTGAAAGAGACTTAGTTTTTAAGATGATAGTAAAATGAAAGACGATAAATCTAGTATCTCAATCTTGACTGAATAGGAAGCAATACAAGAAAGATTTTTGAAAGTCGATGCGTCCACCAAACTCCACATCAAAGAGCAACTGAGGAAGATTGCATTTCTGAATATCACTGACTTGAAACCACCATCTCAACTGGTAAAAACTAAAGGGGTACCTAAGAAGGTGAAACCAACACCGGGCAACAATTCAACAAAGAGGAGTCCTCTTCATATTTTGAACACATTGACAAAGTATTTCCCGATTCACCTACTTCGAAATATCAGAAAAATGTTTTCAAAGGAGCTCGTATTAGCAAACCATCTCCTACACCGACTCCACCAAAAATTCCATTCATCGAGGAGATGTTGGTTTTTATGCATAAGTACATTGAACGGATCGTCAATGTCGCTGATGACGGTAAGTTTGGTTTTCAGGTTGTTTCTGGTTTGTTGGGTAATGTGGAATACCATCACCAACTTGTTCGCGATACTCTTATTAGAGAGTTGAGGAGAAATGGAGAATTATACACACGGGTGCTCGGGACTAATAAGAAAGTTAAAGAGATTTATGACGCGTTAGTACCTTGCGTCAATGAACATGCGCCAAAGCATAAATGGATGTGCTTCATTGAAATGAGTCATCTCATTGCAAGTGTGTATGAGAGAGTGTGTATTAATCTTACAAGATACGGTTTCTCGGAAACTTTTCCCCACTTCACACTGCTCCACGACCAAATCCCAATGATCGTATCATATGTGTTGGGCGGGTTTCAAATACGCGGCATTTTGTTCAGGTATATTTGAAACTGGGATGCCCAATACCAGTTCATCACCAGAGTGGTCAAATCATTACACAATCCCTTCTAAGACCTGGCCAGACCAATTTATTGAAAGGATGCGAGACTACGACAAGTTGAACAAAATTGAAATAGAAAAAATAGGGAAAAGTCAAAAGGGGTGACACCTGTGAATTTGTCCGGTGGCACTTATTTCGGATCATTTAAGTAGTTAGGTATCATTTTATTGTGTATGTCATTTTGTCAATGTGTTATGTTATTGAATATAGCCATTTTGTAGTTTGACCAAAAATATCATATTTCAATACATGTATTATGGTTTTGTTTCTAATCTGATTTTCATTCTCAGGGGACTTATCAGAAATATATTTTCGGTTTATATTGGGGTGGAATCGGAAATATATTTTCGGTTTATATTGGAATCGGAAATGCAGTTCTGGTTTACACTCTGTCACATGATATGATTTGTAAGGTCCATATTTGCCTTCAAATACTATAAATAACCTCACTTGACATGTTGTTTCATACCAAAACACCAAAAACCAAAATGAACATCAAATGTCATATTGGTCATGTCAACTTTACCGACAATACACCATCACGAGAATTTAAGTCTACCGAGTACACCCCTCTTGAAGATTTACAAGACATATTACAGGACATGCTACCTTATGGCACAATTGTAAAATTGTGAAGATCGAGTACCGCTCGTCATCCGTTGACAAAGATGGGAAGCTTGAGTTCATCAACCGTAAGCTGAGGAACGATGCGGATATACGGGCTATGTGGCATACTTTTACACATTTTGAAGCGAAAGTTCCTATCAAGCTAGATATGGCTTTTTCGAGATCAGTAGATGATATTTTCAAGATGTTGCAACGTCTACCTGGACATTGAAGTGTAATGTTTGATGTATGTTTCATACCTTAGTGTATTAACTATTTTATGATATGAATTGTATTTTGAATTTGCAAAATTGATATTTTTCATGTTTTTCTACTCTCTATTTATCAGCTCACCGGAAATGTAACTCCATTTACAAAACGAAAATTTAACTGCAGTTTTAGTCTACATTTTATCAAATCTTGGTGCATCTCGGAAATATATTTCCAAAGTTAAGGGGTATTTCTAGAATTTCACATAGTACTGAGAAAAGGATAGGATGGAAAAAATAATCCTCTTCTTTCATGGTCATGGTGGGAATAGGAGTGGTTGTACTGAGCAGGGGATCCATGTTTTTAGAAGTATTCAAATTTTGGACAGAGAGAATTGCAACACCACAACATATGAAACAAGCTACAGGATACAACAAGAGTAAAGAATTGAAATTACAAAAGACTGAAATTATAAAGGGAAAAACATTTGAACTTTTACTTCAGAAACAACTAGAAATCCATTCTCAAACAAGTAGCAATACCATGCTTTCAAAATGAACAAACTTTGATCATAACATTGGAAATTTAACTTAGGTTGACTTCAATTATGTATTATTACACAAGGTTGATCACTCCATATAACAAGCACTTCTTAGGAACTAACATTTTTTATGATGATTATTAGTAATGTCTCAAATTTCAATCATTTTTTTCCCCTCAAAATAGAGCAATCTTCAGCAAATGCACCATTCTCATAAAAATATTGTTGCCATAATAAATACTTAAGAGTTGAGAAATAAATCCTCTGCCAACTACTTTTGAATCCTTGCAAGCATGTAATGCAGTGCATATATCTGCCTTCTCCAGAAACTTTTCCGCATTTTCAAATACCAAGGGACCATACTCTAGAACAATCCTCTTGCACTGCAAACATTTTCAGAGTAACCGTAAAAACTAAATCAGTGAGTGAAAAGAAAAGTTCATTAGGAAAATAACATTTATGTTTTCTGAGATAACAAGTACTCTTTTATGTTTTTACGAGTCTCCTTCTAGAGTTTGAAGAGAATTTTAGTCGTAATTAGTATATACAGTTATAAGAAATATGTGAACTAATTATCAAATTTTTCTTACCTTGCTCGCAGACTTGCGCAATGAACTGCACACCTTCAGTAATGTCTCGATTATCGCTAGCTGACATGTTAAAATAAAATGGTTAGCATTCCATTCCATAAAATGCAATTTCAATCAAGAATAGTATGAACTACTTGATTGAGAGTGTGATCGCGATTGATCAAATGGGACTTTACTACATAAAAGATAGCGCACCAAGATGAAATAACTTACCTCTGTGTCAGGATCTGTTATCTTGTCCAATAGTTTTGAAACAGTATCTTCGCAAAAATCGCAGCTGTTTTCTTGAAATTGTAAGGACATATTAGCGATGTTCTGGCAGAGGTTGACCTTATTGCAGAAATCTCCAGGCTGAACTGAGGTCATTTCTAAGAAGAAAAGTGGCAAATAATAGTCCACCAAACTGATGCACTGTGAAATTCAGAAGAAACACATGAATTCAAGTTATGATTGATTAAGTTGTTCACCTATTAAAGTTGGTTATCACCTACAAAGCACTTACCCAGATACTAACACCAGACACGACACTGTCACATCATCAATAAATGAAGCACTGACACATATACTACACCAGACACAACAATGACACGTCAACAATAATTGAGAAAATTGAAGTAGTTGAACATAGTCACATGTGTCTGTGCCCGACACTAACGTGTATCAGAAACGGGACACACCTTCAGTTGAAGTGTCAATGCTACATATATTGGTTATCACAATTTCATAACAACTGAGAAAAGTACCTAAACCAAAAAAAAAGGATCTAAAATGCGACCAACCTTCCTCTCAAACGTGTGAAGCTGATGACAAGTATTGTGAAGAATATCAATAACCTCACTCTGAGTCTTGTTTTCATTTATGTAATCAAGTGCCTTGGTAGTATATTCCTCACAAAGTGCACACACGTCCGGTATCTTCACTAGCTCTGCAATATATAGATAAGTGAATAAAACAACTTACTTATGCCACATTTGAATTGCAAGTACAAACGATTTTCACAAGATGGTCATTCAATCCAATTTTTCCTCAATGATCTGATTAAAGCTTGAAAATCTTTCATATAGGCTCTTATTTAATTGAAAACTGGTCAACTTTAGTACTAAGGGAACATTTAGATAAGCTGAAATAAGCCACAGTCTAAACAAACACTAAATAGTGTCTCAAAAAATAGCTTATGAATTAATTAAGGTACTTCCCAAATATGCCTAAAGTTGATAAAACGCGAGTTTGAGATTGCAACAAGAACAATAACATGAATCAATAAAACTACCAGCAGATGCAGAATTTGCAGCAATAATGCCCAATTGATAAGGACTTGCAAACCCTCTAGCATCACAAGCCAATGCAACAACACCAAGTATCAAAACAAACAACAGTCCAATTCTCCCTCCCATGGTTCCTACAACAAAAATTAGGGTTACAACATTGTTGCATGTAATTCCTAATAAATAAACTATCACAGCATCAAAGGTTCAAGTTCAACCCTTACAAGAGATTTTAATTAAGAAAATACTTTGTTTTTCAAAGTTGCATTGCATGAAAAAGAAGAAGAAGAAGAAGATGAAAGGTTACCTTGGAAAGAGTGAGAAAGTTATTCTTATTCTTCTCTTCCTTGGACTTGGAGTGTCGTGTAGGTTGAGATATTAATGATGTCGGAACTTTCACTTAACATTCAATGTTTTGTTGCGATTTTCATGGAGATTGGGAAATTATTCGGTGTGAGATGGTACACTAAAAGTTATTGTGTGTCTCAATATAAACGTGACGTGTCTAAATCTTAGATAAAGTATATTGATTGATGTGAGAGAAGCACTTGTATTGTATGGAAGAAAATGTGAAAGAGGAAAGTGAAGTGACAACTCATTGTTAGTCTTAATTCTTAAGCAACCTAAAAGATGGACAAAGGAACTAAGGAAGGCACATCTTTTATTTTTTTCCTTAATCACAAGTTTAACATTAGGGAAAAATAAGTTATTTTTAATTGTTTTTTATTCGATTTTCTTTTTATGTTCTCCTACTAGAATTTCTACTTTTATATTTTTTTGGTAATTCTAAACATGTGGAGTAGTACTTTACCTTGGGAATGTTAACTATTTTTATTAAGTAGTTGAATCGTTATAGTATTTACTATTTACATACTTAAAGGATAGAGAATTGAGAAAATTGTTTTTTTTACTCCCAAAATAATTGTCATAGTTAATATTTTTACATAGATTAAAAAATTATAATAAATAAAAGAGAGAATAGTGATTTTATTAAATTATTCTTATTAATTATTGATATATTTAAATTAATATTAATGTTAAATGTAGGAATGTTCAAATTCAAAAATCTAAATAAAAAATTAAAAACTAATCTAAAAAATCAAAAACCGCAAAAAAATTGAAATTTATTGGATGTGTTTGGATGTTATTTTATGAAAACCGATCGGTTCGGATCGGATTTCAAATGAATTTTTAAAAACCGATCCAAACCAAACTGAACCGCATACATATATTTTTATACTTATTTACTTTTTTATTAGTATGATATATTATGTGAATTTATTATTAGATGATAATATTTTTTTAATAATATTTATTAGCTTAGTATAATCTATTTATTTTTATTATTTCAATCATAATCGGTCACTCTCATTTTGTAATATTAATTTTTAATATATTATATGTTATATATTATATCAAATCTATGATTTATTAGTAGTTTTATATTATTAATAAAAATATAATGTCTAATTTAGATATCAAAAAATTGATCTAAATTAAATCGTATAAAATTGGATCGGGTCAGATTGAATTTTTTTTAATATATCATCCAAAACCGAACCGAACCGCAAGTGAATTTATCTTTAGATCGAATGAGTTTTACTTTAAAACTGATCCAAACCGAACCGCAAACACCCCTAGTTAAATGAGAAAACAATAAAATAAGAATATTTATTAAATGATATAAATCGAAAATTAAAAATAAAATTATTGATAATGTAAAATAACAAATATTTTGGAACAAATAATTTTTTTAAGTGTGATAATTATTTTGAGACAAAATGAATAATTAACTAGTTCAATGGTTATATTTACATACTTTAAATATATATAAAAAATGAGAAATTTTGACTATGTATTTGATCGTACCTAACTAAATGGACTGTCACAGCTTATGTCGAGCAGAACTTGAGAATGAGGTGGGGGGAGGGGGGATACCTGCAAGACACTCTGATGCCAAAGTGAGATTCAGAATGAGCAAGTAAGTAAGAGAGTGAGAAAATATTTAATACCGGACCCTCTCGAAAGAAAGGGTATTTATAACCCCCAGCACTGGGTCAAGGTCCTCATTGTTAGGCCATATTGAGTCCCAATAATGGAGATTGTCGGGGCTTACGTGTGTATGGAGTCCAGCAAGTAGACTTCCCCCTGGTCAACTGCTCCGTGAGAATAGAGATTGGGCCCGTGATTTCCGGAAGGCATTTAAGATGACGGTGATGTGGGGACGTGGGCCACATTCCCCAATGGATGTTTGGGGAGTTGCCCAACGGTCCCTAGTTTGGGTTGCTTGCTTTTGGGCCTTATACAAGGGTGTTGGATTGGGCCTCTCAACCATAGGACAAGTGCAGGCCCAGTCCAGATTAGGAACCCCCTAAGTTATTGCCCTTAGGTGAAAGGGTGATGACTTAAGTTCAACTTTTATAGTCTGGAAGGATTCAATCGGGAAGAAAGTACAATTTGTTCTAAAAGGAAGCGAGTTGTTGCCCGCGTCAGGGACAACATGTTTGAATTTGTCGGGGATCTTGTGGACAAACGAGCTGTGAGACCGACTAGGTCAGTTGTTTGTCTGACAAGAGTGTATTGGTTATGGTACCCGCATGTCTTAGCCATTGTATGCATGCCTTCAAGGGGTTGTCGTGATGCCGAGTGTTATTTCACCCTCGAGGTGAATCGCAACGAATATGCATGTGTTCATGTCTTAGCCATGGTATCAAGCATTCCCTCGAGTGAAGTGTCTGCCTCGTGCTCGCATGGGGATTACGTGTTGAAGTCGAGAACGTGTTCGTCTATTGAGAATGGACATGTGGTGGATTGCTGGGCCATGTGGTTGTTGCTTTGGGATGCCATCCCTTCATAGGGAGTTCAAAAGACCCAATTCAATGATGACTTTTGTGATGACTCTCGTGGGGTGTGAGCTACCTATAAAAGGGGATCCTTGGGTCTCATTTGTCATTTTCTCAAGTTTTCTCCTTCAACTTCCCTTGCTCACGCGTGAAGCTTTCCTCTCAACTTTTCCATATTTCTTTAAAGAATCATTCATCCAAGCAAGTTATATCTGCTTGAAAACGTAATATTTGCCTTGACCGGATGAACATTCGTGAGTTTTGTGATGAACACTCATGAGTGTTCGTTGAAGTTCATGAGTTATGCGATGAATACTCATGAATGTTTATTGAAGTTCATGAGTTTATGATGTCGGGGACAATCTCCCTGAATAGTAGCCATGATGTCGGGGGCGATCTCCTTGAATAATGGGGGGTGACTCGAACTCCTTGCCCGTTTGAGTGAATATCACCAACAAAAATGTAGTCTGCTTTAGCGTGTAGTCAAGGGCTTGGGTCGAGTTCATCGCCCTTTCACTTGATCTGCGGTGGAAGGGTGAATTTGATAATGTTGAATTCACTATTTTCCCCTACTTTTCAGGTACAATGGCACGCTCAATCGGGGATAATGTCCTGCCCACCAACTATGAAGATGAAACACACGTTGATGAGGACCCCTTGGCCTAGGTTGCACCTGAGCCTCAAAATAAAAGGTCGTGCTACAAATGTGTTCAACTATCCAGAGGTACGAGAGGAGGGGGCCCCCGCCAACTGGATTCTTCAAATTCCCCATTTCAGCCGGAGAATCTGCTCGACGTATCCGGGAAAACATTTTCCTACGTACGAGTTTGCGTTTAAAGAGGCGGGGATGCGTTTTCCCTTCAACGATTTCTAGGTGATGTTTTTTCAGTGGCTTCAATTGGCGCCCTCTCAACTTCACCCAAACATACTGGCGTTCATGCGGGCGTTCGAGCTTGTCTGCCAGTACCTGCAGGTAGGGGCCACTCTACCCCTCTTCTTTCATATCTTCCACCTTCAAAGACAATTCATTGGAGGAGGGCAAGTGTAGGTGTCCTTCAAACAGTTCGGGAAGTTATTTAGGCCTTATCTGGAATCTATCTGACACTTCAAAGATAGGTGCTTTATTGTGAAACCTTTGACGGACGCGGCCATAGACTCCTTATACATCCGCGTGAAGGAAGTGGAGGATGGGCGGCCAGTTACCCAGCTCGTGGCCAGATTTCCGCTCGAGTGGCAATGGAAACACTTCGAGCAATGGCCTGAGTATTATGCTGTGAAGCCCGAAGACTTGGACGCTCAGGACCAGCTCTCCTATGAGAAGTTGGCGGCCTATGTTAGGAGCTTCTCCCCTGCGAAGTGTGTGGACGTGAACAATAACCTCCTCTTCAACAACAACGGGGAGTACCTCTTGGTTAACAGGCTCATCAACACGAAGGCCCTGCTCGAATGTTCCTCAGACGAGGAAGCAATGAGGCTTTTAGGTAGGGGACATGGTCGCGATGATTACTTTTGCTTTCGTTTCTTGCAGGGACGTTCCCGTGTTATTATCCTTGTTTAGCCCATGACTGATGGTTTCTTTTTTATTGTAGGTCGAATAGCGTCCCTCTCTGAGCGCTTATTGAAGTTGAGGCCCAAGAACGTGTCTACTTCGGGGCCAAAGAACAGGGTCACCTAGCTCCAAGAGCAGGCCAAATTTGCTGCTCGCGCTAGCGGTTCCCCCTCCTCATCAAAAACCCAGGTTCCCCCTGGTGAGCCCGCCCAGGTTCCCATCGGCGAGCCCGCATCGAAGAGGAAACGCGTGGAGAGTGTCAAAGGTGTCGTGCCCGAAGGTGACAAGGTACCCGCGGGGGTCTTCGTGCTGCCTCCTTGCTATTTAAACTGTGATCTTTTCAGTGGGGAGAGCTCCTTGGGCGTTCACGAGGAGGAGAGGGAGGCGATTTTGTCCGAGGATAAGGAGGTCTGTCGAAAGAATTTGGCAGAAGATATGGTCGATGTTATGAGGATGCTCAAGATGGCTCTGACGCTAAACAAAGAGGCCGCGAGCTCTCAGGCTTCCCTCGATGTAGCATATGCTAAGATTCAGAAGCTTAAGGCCAAGAATGAGAAATTAAAGTGCGACATCCTCAATCACGAGTCAAAGTTCGAGGCTCAAGTTCGACTTCTCAAGGATCTAAACGAGCTGTAGCTCTAGCTAGAGGCCGTGATCGAAGAGAACGAGCGCCTGGTTGCCCGAACAAAAGAGTTAGAAGGGATCACGGCCCCAACCGAATAAGAGACAAACACAGA